AGTGTTGCTCAGTGCTGAGTCCTGTCAGTGCTCGGGGATCACCCCTGGCAGGGTTTAGGGGACCATTTGGGATGCCATTTAATCAAATACACATTAGCCTCTTGCAAGGAATGTGCCTTACCTGCCATACTATCTCTTTGGCCCTGGACCCCCAACCACCTTTTTTTCTCTAGTAATGATCAAATCACCTCTGTGGTGTCAATAACCAGGGTTTACACTTAGGACTTTACACTCACCCTGGACACTTTCTTAGTCACTGTGCCATCATCCAGTGGCTTCTCCATCGGGAATCCCTAACAGCAGAGTTGTCAGAACTGCTTCAGTGTGTGGAATTTTGCTTTATTAGATTAATTTATTTGGCACAATAAATTAGGCAAATAAAAATCTAGGCAACTGCATAAAAAGAATCGTGTTTTTTTGTTTTTGTTTTGGCATTTTGGGTCACACCCAGCAATGCTCAGGGGCATTACTTCTGGCTCTGCACTCAGAAATTACTCCTCGCGGTGCTCAGGGGACAATATGGGATGCCAGGGATTGAACCTGGGTTGGCCATGTGTAAAGCAAACACCCTGCCCTCTGTACTATCACTCGGACCCTCAAGAACCAGACAGGTTATTTCCCTTGCATTTGGCTAACCTGGGTTTAGTCCCTGGCACCTCATATTATCCCCCAAATTACTAGCAGTGATCTCTGACCACAGAGCCAGAAGTAAGCCCTGAGCACCGCCAGGGGTAGCCTGCTTCCTTACCCTCCCCCAAAAAATCATATTCTCATACTACTGAACACACACAGTGATCAAAATAATGAATTGTGGGACTAGAGAGGTAGTATAGCAGGTAGGGTGCTTGCCCAGAAAATGGCCAACTCAAATTGGATCTCAGGCATACCATATGGTCCCTAGAGCATTGCCAGGAGTGAGGAGTGATCCCTCAGTTCAGAGCCAAAAGTAAGCCTAGAGCACGATGGGTGTGCACCTTCCCCCAAAAATTGTGGAATAGATTCTAGAAATTAATGCATAAAATCGAATGATTCAGCACCTCCATGATTGTGCGAGGAATGCCAAGAGAGAGATAACCACAAAAAAAAAAAAAACGCCTTTCTTTGAACACTCTTGAACTTATACGCCAACGTGGCTTGGCACATGCCTCAGGCAACCGCAAGCGAACGAACATCCGAGCTGGCAAAACAATGCAGAGAAGCCATCAAGGATGACTTCAAAGACAGGAGAGCAGCAGTGCTGGTAGATGCGGCAGAAGCCGGGAAAAGCATTCGTAAGGCCCACCTGTCCTTCACCAATCACAAGACCAAGATGACTGCCCTCCGACATCCGGATGGATCTATCACATCTTCCAGAAGGGCAATGGAGAAGATTATTTATGACTTCTACTCAGATCTCTTTAATAACCACGTCCACTTGCCCACATACCAAATTCCGCAGGATGGATATGTCGTTCCCAATGTTCTCCCTTCCAAAATCCAACACGCCATCTCATAGGTAAAGAAACAAAGAGCACCTGGCCCAGACAAGGTCAGACCTGAACACCTGAAGAACTTACCGTCAGTACTCAACAATACACTGGCTCGGCTCTTCACACACTACCTGTCTGAATGCAAGCTTCCATCCCAGTGGAAAACCAGCAGGACTGTACTACTATACAAGAAGGGAGACATCCACGACATTGGCAACTATCGCCCGATCTGCCTATTGTCTGTCATCTACAAGCTGTTCACTCGAGTCATCCTGAATAGGATTGACAGAACACTAGATGAAGGACAATCATGCGAACAAGCTGGGTTCCAAAAAGGATTCAGCACCATCGACCATATCCACACGATTACTCAGCTCATTGAGGTTTCTCAGGAGTTCAAGATGCTGTTCTGTCTAACATTCATTGATTTAGAGACGGTCTTTGATTCTATACATAAAGGCCCTCCCGTTGATCGTCGATTTTGCTCGAGCGGGCGCAGTAACGTCTCCATTGGAGACTTTGTTGTTACTGTGTCTGGCATATCGAATACTCTCGGTAGCTTGCCGGGCTCTCCGAGAGGGGCGGAGGAATCGAACTCGGGTCGGCCATGTTGGCCGCTTGTAAGGCGAACGCCCTACCCGCTGTGCTATATGCAGGGCTGGAGCGATAGCATAGCAGCAGGGCGTTTGCCTTGCACGCAGCCAACATGGCCGACCCAAGTTCGATTCCTCCGCCCCTCTCGGAGAGCCTGGCAAGCTACCGAGAGTATCTCGCCCGCACGGCAGAGCCTGGCAAGCTCCCTGTGACGTATTCAATATGCCAAACACAGTAACAACAAAGTCTCCAATGGAGACGTTACTGGGCCCGCTCGAGCAAATCGACGATCAACGGGAGGGCCTTTACCTTTACCTTTGATTCTATTGAGATGGAAGTGGTCATAGAAGCCCTAGCCAATCAGGGCGTACAAACTCAATACATCAGGATCCTCTGTGAACTCTATTATGGATTCACTACCAGGATCTCACCATTCTACAAAGAAGTAATCATCCATGTCAAGAGAGGGATTTGGCAGGGTGATACCATTTCACCAAAACTCTTCAGTGCCACCCTTGAGAACATCATGCGATGACTGGAATGGGAAGGAATGGGAGTGAAGATAGATGGTCAGCAACTACACCACCTTCACTTTGCTGATGACATCGTTCTAATAACACCAAACATCAGCCAAGCAGCACAAATGCTAACCGACTTTGACCGTGAGTATGGAAAGGTCGGATTATAACTGAATCTCACAAAGACAATGTTCATGAGAAACAGTCTTGTTCCATTCACTCTCAACGGAACCACCATCTCCAAATGCAACAGTTATATATACCTAGGTCGAGAAATCAACATGATGAATGACCTGGCACCTGAGTTACGCAGGAGGAAGAGGGCGGCTTAGAATGCCTTCAAGAGCGTTGAAGAAATAACTAAGAGGACAAAGAACCTCCAGCTCCGAGCACATCTCTTCGATTCCACTGTTCTTCCTGCAATAACATATGCCTCAGAGACCTGGGCCCTACGAAAACAGGATGAGAATGCTATTCGGGTCTCTCAAAGAGGAATCGAAAGAGCTATGCTTGGAGTATCACGTTTCACTCAAATGAAAGATAGAATCCAGAGTTCCGATCTCCATCAATGCTCAAGAATCAGGGATGCTGTCTCATTTGCCAAGGTATCAAAAATCAGATGGGCTAGACACGTAATGAGGTTTAGAGACAACCGCTGGACTAGAGCCACCACTGACTGGATTCCACGGGATGTCAAAAGATCGCGTGACACCCACCTACAAGATGGTCAGACTTCTTCGTCAAGACCCTGAATGATCGGTTTGAGGCTCTGCATGTTCCTAGAACGAGCAGATGCCATTGGGCTACGCTAGCACACAACAGGGATGAATGGAGACGCTACTGGCACCCGCTCGAGTAAATCAATGAGTAACGGGGTATCAAGTGATCAAGTGAATGTATAAAAAATTTCACGCTTCTAATTCCACTGAATCTAGTACTAAGCATGCTTCTTCAAATTTTTTTAAAATTTTTTATTGAGTCACAAAGCATGCTTCTTTCTGTTCCATGGTTTTTTTCTGCTGGTCTGTTTAACTCTCCAATAGCTACAGATCAGTATATCAGTCTGCGCTGGTAGTCTAGGACCAGAAACTCAGTCTCTTGTTCAGTGATTTAATTTTTACCATTTTCAGCTTTCATCTTTTCAGCCTCTTCTTGGCTTCTTTTTCACACATCACTTTTATGTGACCAGTCACTTCACAGGCTATTTTTGATCTTGATCAGCCTCAGGGAAGGATCAGACACGGTCCTGGGAGCTGCTCTGGAAGAAGGGGTGGGGAATTGGCTATCTGTGGAGTCATTGTAGTGAGACCCTACCAGAGGATCACAAACAGCTGGGCTGTTCTGATCACCTTGAGGCATGCTGGACACCAGGGTTTGGCCTTGCTGCTTGCCTGGGAAGTGCTTTAAGACACTAATTCATCCTCTGTGTCTATATTATAATTATTATTTTTAAAGATTTTTGGCTACACCAGGAAAGCTTGGGGGTTATTCCTGACTCTGCATTCAGGAATCACTCTTGGCTGTGCTTGGAGTACCATATGGGGTGTCAGGAATGGAACCCGGATTGGCTGTGTGCAAGGCAACCTGCTATATGATCTTTCTGGCCCCTTATCTAGCTAGGCCTTCTTAACGCTAACACTTAACGGAGCAGGTGTTTTTCTGACTTTCTAGTCTCCTTGAACGCCGCAATAACCAAGACTCGGGGGACAGTGGGGGGGTCGTGGAGAGGCTTCAGGGCGCAGGCTCAGACCGTTTGCTTCGAGGTCGCCGCCCTGTCACCGGACGCTCTGAGCCTGCACGTGGCGCCCAGTAGAGCTGGGGTGTCCTCGAGGAACGAACGTTAACGGCCCGCTCCCCACTAGAGGGCAGCGTCGCCTCGCTCCGTGCAGAGGCTCGGGCTGCACCCTCCCCCGTGCTGTCGCGACGCCCCGCGCTCCGGCAGATCTCGGAGGGGCCCCACCCCTGCACACTTCCAGGGATTGTGGAGGCCGCTCCAGGAGCAGATCCTGAAGCTCGGGTCCCAGGTGCCCCCTCCTCGTTATGGGGTCCTGCCAGTGAGGGGGCGCACGTGAGCACAGCCGGGGTTCCCTATGTCCCCGACTTCTGTCCTGGGGAGAAAGGGGAAACCGAGGCTAGCGCGGGGAAGTGACTTGTGCGGGTTCATGCAGTGAATCCGGACTCAGCTCCACCTCCCGGGGAGTCGGGAAGACCCTGGCCAGACCCCTCCAGGGTTCCAGCTACAGCCCCGCCCCCAGCCGGTGGGGAGTGGGCGGTTGGCACCCCCACCCGGCCGGCCCGCCAGGGGCTGGGCCACTTCAGCCCCACCCAGGCCCCATTGGCTGCCGCGCCAGGGGCGGGGCGCAGCTGCCAGATGTTGGGGCGGCCGCGGGAGCCGCGGAGAGCCAGCAGCGGCCGCGCCAGGAGCTGGGCCAGGGCGCCGCTGGCCGGCCCGCCTGGCCCTCTCGGCGCCGCGCTCGCAGAAGTCCGAGTCGTCCCGGAGGTCTGGCGGGAGCTCGGCACGGGCATGCACAGCACTCGGCTTGACAGCTTCTTGGGCCAGCTCCGCTGGGAACTGGTGAGGTTGGGGAGCGGGTGTGGCTGGGGAGGACGTGTGTGGGGTGCTCGCTGCCGTCCGGCCACGCCGCACACGGGGGGTGGAGGCCGTTCCGAGTGCCAGCACTGGCGGGATGGGGGCGGGGTGGCGCAGATGGCCCAGCTGGCCCTCCTCGGGTTTCGGACGGTTGGGACTTCGCTGGGCATCAAGTAACAGGCACCCAGCTGGCTGTGCTGCTTGGGGCCGCCAAGCAAGTTGGAGGGGAAGAAAAGTCTTTGGAAGTGGATGGGGAGGGGGGGGAGGCGGGGGCTGGGGAGCAGCGAGGGGCTATAGAGCTGTTAGAACGGCCTGTGTCTCCTTCCTCTGTCCCTCACCTAGCAAACACTTGGGGTAAGCGACGCCCCCAAGAACACGGATGCGTTCCGGGCCCTGGGTTGCACCTACTTCCCCATCCAGGCCCGCAACCCTACCTCCCGCCCTGCTGGCGGGTGCCGACTTGCCCGGCTCTGCGTGCCGCAGCCTGCAGGACTGCCACCAGGTCGGCTGATGGGAGCCACACGAGCTGCGTGTGCCAGCACCCTCATGCAAGCCCGTGCCCACTGCAGGCAGTGCTGCCGCTGCCTGCGGGTCCCTGCAGCCCTCTTAGCCTTGTGTTCTGGACTGCGATGGCCACGCAGGCGGGAGTGACAAGCGCTGCCCTCTCTTCCTCTGCAGTTGTGCGGCCGGGACTCGGGCTCACCGCCCATGCCTGGCCCCCTCCCACCGCCTCCCAAACCCAGCACAGGTGTGCAGCTGCGACACCGACTCAGGGCTTCGGATGCTGCCTTGGAGGAGGACTCTGTCTGCTGTGTGGAGGAAGAGGAGGAAGAAGCAGTGGGGACAGGACACAGAAGTATAGCCTTGGGGGGACCCAGGGAGAATGCCCTGGACTGGGACTCTGGCTTCTCCGAGGTGTCGGGCAGCACATGGAGGGAGGAAGAGCTGCCTGTACCCCAGCACCCGGCCCTCCCAGTGCCCCCAGCACGCCTGCGGAGACAGCGCCTCTCCACCAGTGGCCTCCCCGTGCCCAGTGTACCTGTGGCCAGGGTACCACCAACCCGCCGCCCAAGGCCCAAGTCCACCCCCGACGCCTGCTTGGAGCACTGGCGGGGGCTGGACTCCGAGGACTGGACAGCAGCGCTGCTAAGCAGAGGGCGCAGCCGGCAGCCCCTGGTGCTGGGGGACAACTGCTTTGCAGACTTGGTACACAACTGGATGGAGCTGCCCGAGGCAGCAGGTGAGGGGGACCCTGAAGGTGGGTCCCGAGCCCGTACTCGCCCCCCGCAGTTCCTACTTGGCCTCTCTGAGCAGTTGCGGCGCCAGCTGTCCAGGGCACGGCGGGCAGCCATGGCAGGCAAGCGGCTCTCATGCCCACCTCGCTCAGAGCCTGAACTGCCTGCAGATGTCTCACGCTTCGCAGCCCTCATGAGCTGCCGCAGCCGCCAGCCCATCATCTGCAATGATGTTGTCAGCTACCTCTGAACGCTCTCTTCATCTCCCTCAGTCAGGGACAATAAAAGCCTTTCTCTGCTCAGTCTTGGTTCATAGCCCTGAGGCTGCAGGAGGCAGCCCCTTGCCCCCCCCCCGCCCCACCCTCCAAGGCACAGTCCAGACGCATGAATGGAAATAGTCTTTTCTCACCCTGCAGGGGTCCCTGGGGTGCCCATGTCAGGACACACCCCACCTGCCCGCTGCCCAGGAGTCCAGCCTCTCCGCTCACACCTTCCTTCTCTGTTTATTGAGGGCTTCCTGGGCTTGGCTTGGCATGCAGGACAGGGGCGGGTGGAAGGGGGCGTTGGGGGCGGCGCTGCAGCCTGGTCACAGTTGGTAGTGCAGTGGGGGGAAGGTGGTGTCGTCCTCTTCCCCCTCACAGCTCAGCTCCAGCACCAGCACCCGCTGTCCAGGCTTAGGCTCCCAGCCCATCTCCCTCATCACTTCAGTCAAGCTGCGCCAGGGGGAAGGGGAAATAGGAGTGAGCGGTAGCCTGCAGAACACAGAGCATAACCTGGCCTGGGCTAGAGGGTGCTGCTGGGCCAGAAAGCGCCCAAGGCAGAAGCAGGAGCGGCTCAAGACAGGAAACATCTGAAACTATTTTCAGAGCAGCGGGCGGGGAGGGCAGGAGGCAGGAAACTGCAAGTCCCCTGGGAGAGGACTGCGGAAAGGGGAGCTGAAGCAGGGGTGGAGGCTGGCGGGGAGGCTGGCAGGGAGTAGCAGCTGCTGGACACCCCTAGGCAGACTCTTGGCCCTTGCCCCACCCCCCAGCCCATTTGTTGGCTCCATTTGGTCAAACCACAGGAAGGTGTGAGAGGCCCAGAAGGGGATGGGAAGGGGGAAGCCAGCTTGTCTTCACTTCCAGGAGCGGCCAGGGGTGGCCTCACCTGCGGGACAGGTACTGGTCCCTCTTTTCAGACGGCCATCGTGCTGAGTATACGTAGGCTGTGTCATGCAGGAGCATGCGCACCCTCAGCCCGTGATGTTCCTAGAGAGAGGTCAGTGTCAGCTGGGCCAGGCTGGGCCAGGCTGGCGGTGAGAGTCAGGAAGGGGACACACCTGGAGGTGGGTCAGTAGTGACTCCAGGGTCCTCTCAGGCTGTCCTGCAGACACCTCCAGGCGGTCCCAACAGGTCCATCTCCAGTTCTGGAACTGAAGAGGGAGAGGAGGAGGGAGAAGCATGTCTCTCCTTCCTTTCTCTCTCCCTCCCTCCCCCTTCTCTCTCTCTTTTTTCTCTCTTTCTCTCTCTCTCTCTCTCTCTCTCTCTCTCTCTCTCTCTCTCTCTCTCTCACACACACACACACACACACACACACACACACACACACACACACAAAGCTGCCCAGGCCCAGCAGCTGATGGCCCCTTTCTAGGGGAGAACTGGACTCCAGGCAGGAAGCAGAAGCCAGGGGGTGGGGGTAGAAGGTGGGATCTGAGCCCAGAATCGTCTCAGTACCCTCCCGCCCATGGGGCCAGCACAGGAAATGGGGCTAGGGGCCCCCCTGCACAGGGAAACAGGCGATCCATCATACAGGCACTGTGTGTGTGTGTGTGTGTGTGTGTGTGTGTGTGTGTGTGTGTGTGTAGGGGCGGGGCTTCCTGAGGAAGCTGGAGCAGGGCCCCTGCAGTCTTTGATAAACTTATTGCTCCTCAAATGCAAGGCTGGGAGCCAAGGAGGGGCTCATCCTGTCCCCTTATCCTTGTGTCACTAGGGCCTTGGATCACTCACAGGCACTTGGGGCAAAGGCACGGTGACCACCAGAGGCCTCCTAGCTCAGAGATCCGGTCCACAGAAGCGTCTTTCCTGTCCCCTTTCCTTCCTAGTTTCAGGACACTGGGGGTTCTGGTGCCCAGAGGAGTGGCAGGAAGTTGGAGGCCAGGACAGAGGACCTGGCTAGCCCCCGAAACACAGTGGAGTCAAGCTGAGATGAGGCCAGAGAGGTGAGATGGGGGCTCCCCCTCCCTCTCCCTCCACTGTTGACAAAGGCAGCTGTGTGCTTGTTAGAGGCACAACCCTGACAAAGGGGCTCTGTATGCTGCACCCTGAGGGACCCCATGGCTGCTCAGCAAAACTCCAGTGTTGGCCCCTGACCTCTCCCCTCTTCCCCCAGAGATGGCATTCCCTAGGACCTCTTTCCTGTGCTCCAAGGACATAGTAACCCCTCAGAGCCTGGGCTCATGGCCAGGGGCACCACGGTTCTGCACTCAGAGACTCATACATGCACATAACTCAGGAATACTACATGTGTCCCTGTGCATCCCCACGAAGCCTGCAGAGCCCTGTGCTACATCTGGCACACAGATGTGGCGGCTCCCAGGGCCTCCACTGGTGACCCCCTGCACACAATAATTCTGACTGCAGCCCCCACCCCATGAGTTCAGTGTTTTCCTCAGCTGGGAGCGGGTGGGCCCATGCCCAAGTTGGAGGCGAGACTGTGTTTGCAGATAGAACCCTGGCTCCCTCCCTCCCCCCTCATCAGGGGCACTCCTGGGAAGGAGGGGACTGTGGGGGATGTCTGGCTCCACTAATGAGTTAAAGCTGCAGCTCCCCCAGACCCAGGAGAGCAGAGAGTTGGGGGTGGGGTGGCTGACGGGCGGCTTCCTGTGTCTGACAGGTCCCAGCCTGGCTTCAGCGCAGGAAGTGGGCTGGAGGATGTCTTGAGGACTCCCCCAGAGTCTGGGGCCTGGCAAGAGGAGAGCCTCTTTATATAGGTGCAGGAGAAGCCCAGTGTCAAGGACTCACCATTTGGATGGCTGGGGCAAAGGGTACCTGACGACACAAACTGTTTTCAGCCATATGTAGGTAGCTGTTGCGAAAGGCATGAAGGGGCCGAGGCCCATCTACCAATTTGTACAACTCCAGGCCCAGCAGGCCGGCCACAGCTGCTGTGGTGGTGGCAATGGCTGGGATGATCTGGCCCAAGATTTGCTTGCTCTGCCAAGGATGAGATTTGGTCTGGACCTAAGGTGTGTGGCAAAGGGCTGATGCCTCCCCCTCAGCCCCCAACCACCATCTCCCAGCTGAATCCCAAGCAGCAGGGTTACCTGGGCCTGGTTGGTCGGTTGGATCTTGTAGTTCTGTGCTCGCAAGCTGGCTGCTGCCGTCACAAAGTCCACATGGAAGTTGCTGTCCTGAGGGCCCCAAATCCCTCAGCAGGCAACCCTGTGCCACCTCCCCGCATTTATCAGGCACAAACACATTTATCAGTTCTGGAGAGCTGAGCTGCTTCCACGCTCCTAGTAGAACTCCGGCCAAGGGGCCCCACCTTCCTTCTTAGCTCTTGACTTTCTGCATCAGTATCCGAGCCCAGCCCTTCCTCCACCATGATCCGGGCACCCACCTTGTCAAACATCAGGGGCTTCAAGGAAGGGCCCTGACTACAGTCTTCATAGGCTTTGCTCGGCTTCCTCCTTGGCTGCACAGTTCCTGGCAGGAGATTGTTGGCACAGTTTGTCTTCACCCTGTACCTGCTGCCTGTCCTCAGGGTCATTTTCCAGGAGACTCCTCATTGATGCTGCCATCCCCTATCCAGCAGATCCTGCCCTGGTATATGCCTGTATAAGTTTGCCCTCCAGCTGAGGGCACAGGTTGGCATTCCCCAGGGCCCAGTGGTTGTGTGGGTTTGTTCCCTGGAGGATCTACCAGGGGAACAGGTAGAGGGCTCAGAGGTGTCAGAGATAGGATAGAGGGGCCAGAGAGTTCATAAAGCGGGTAGGGTGCTTGCCTTTTGCATGCAGGCAACCCAGACTCAGTTCCCAGCACCCCATACAGTCCCCTGATGACTGTCAGGAGTGATTCTTGAGCACAGATCCAGGAGTAATCCCTGAGCACCCCTGGGTATGGTCCAAAAACCAAAAAGCAAAAAACCAAACAAACTAAAGTACTGTAGAGGGGGTTGGAGTGATAGCACGGGGGGTAGGGTGTTTGTGTTGCCCAAGGTCAACATAAGTTCGATTCCCAGCATCCCAAATGATCCCTCCAGCATCTCCAGGAGTAATTCCTAAAGGTAGAGCCAGGAGTAATGCCTGTGCATCACCAGGTGTGACCCAAAATGCAAACAAAAAATAAAGTATTGTAGAGATGGGCCTAAACCTAGATGAGCAGGTGAGAGAGGCTAGTTGAGGGCTCCCAGTCCCTATTTTTTGTCTGTGGCACAGGGTAGGGCCAATCCTTCAGGGGACCACAGATAATCCAGGGATCTCACCAAGTTCACTGGATGCCTGAGCCAGCTCCAGGGCACTAGTGAAGAGGCGGGCTTGGTGCTGAGGGTCAGGCAGTAGCAATGTCTTTAGCAGATCCTTGAGTGCAGCCTGGTTCAGTGAGTCAGACCACCCGTGCACCTGGGCATATAGGTTGGCCGCTGCCAGCACGAAGAGCAGGTGTGTATCCTGCGACACAAGTAGGGGCAGAGGTCTGGGGATGGGGGTGGGGGTCTCTGCCTGCTTCTGCCTTGCTGTGGGCATCCACAATGCCTCAATGGCTTTCTTGGTATCTCACATAGACTGTCCCATCTCTGCTCTGGAAACCTCCCCACCTTCACAGTTCCCACGGGACCTCACTCACTTGGCTGGCATCGAACCTCAAGGGCTGGGGACACTCTTTGGGAGGTGACCAGAAGGGCATTCCATCAGGAGACACCTGGGGAAGTGGAGACCATGAGGTTCAGTTCGGTCCCTGGAGCCCTCAGCCTCTGGCACTGGCACCCACTTTATCTGGTGGGTAGAGTTTCAGCAGCTGCTGGATGTCCGAGTGGAAGTGCAGGTGCCAGTGGCCAAGGGCCCACATCACACAGTCCTTCCAGGTCTGTGGCTGCTGCCTCAGTTCTCCCACCACTGCCTGCACCTCTTGTGGCCTCTGGGTGTCTGCCCTGGTGAGAGAAGGAAACTTGAGGTCCCTCAGTCCGCTGCGAGGGGCCCGGGGCTTCCGTCCATCTGCACTAAGGTGCTCACAGTTGTTGTTGGTTGATGGTCTTGGCAGCAGGATGAAAGAGCTTCTCAAACAGCTCCCGGGCCCACTGTGGG